ACAATAATTTCTCAAGAACTTCTAACATAGAATTACAGGCGCGTACTACCACACCCGGCTGATTTTTGATTTATTGTAGAGATGAGGTCTCGCCAAGTTGCCCAGGCAGGTCTCGAACCCACGGTCTCAGGCAATCCACTTACCTCAGCCTCCCAAAGGCGTAGGATTACTGGCTGAGCCACCGAGCCCGCAAAAGCAACATTTAAATCCTTCTCATTTCTCCTGTTCTATTTCTCCTCAGTCACCCACAACTTTGTTAGCTCCTTTTCCCAAACAGTTTAGTTCCTTACTACTCAAGGCATAATCCTTGGATCAGCAGCATCAGTATCATCTTAAGAGCTTATTTAGAAATGATGAATGTCATTCTCCTCCAACAACATCTCCAGGTGATTCATATGCACCTTAAGGATGAAGCACCAATTTAACCTAATTGCCTAGTTGGATATTTTCTTATTGCAGAGTTCCAGTTTCTTCCTTCTTCTTCCTAAGATCTCTGCCACCAGTTGCTTTTCCAGGGCTTGAAGAAAGAGAAAGACTTCAAATCAAAGAACTAAGACAGCTAGAAGGTATACATCAATCAGCTAGTCCTCCCATTTTGCAGAAGAAGCCCAGAGAAGTGATTTTATTCCCTTAAGTCACACAAGCTAATAGAAGAACCTTGCTTCTGCATACTTTCTCCCTGATCTCTAGACCCTTGCCTCATTAGGCTGCCAATGAACTCCAATTTAATATCTGAAAAATTGAAAAAGTATGTCAGTAGGAAGATTTTTTGCTTGTTTTGCTTTGTTTTAATTTTTAAAAAGAATAAGGGGAGGACCAATTTTAAACCTAAGTCCAACAAATAGCTCTTCCTCACTAGATCATAGCTACCTTAATTACTGATCTTCACCAGGGCAAAACATACCATTACATCAAAATCCTATGTGTTGGTTCCTCCATGTTCCAAGTGGTATTATGTATCATTCCGGACAATAATTTATCAAACAAAAAGGGCAGGGTGGCTCAAACCTATAATCCCAGCACTTTGGGAGGCCGAGGTGAGGAGATTGCCTGAGCCAATGGGTTCGAGAACAGCCTGAACAACTTGAGGAGACCTCATCTCTACAATAAATCAAAAAATTAGCTAGGCTTGGTAGCGCACGCCTGTAGTTTCAGCTACCTCGAAGGCGGAGGCAGAAGGATCCCCGAGCCCAGCAGGTCGATGCTGGGGTGGCCATGAGTGTGCCACTGCACTCCAGCCTGGGCAACAAAGTAGGATTCCAACTCAAAAAAAGAAAATGAAATTTTAAAACTAAGTTTTATTTTTTTAAAAGGAGAACATTCCTGTATTTTGGCCAAATTTACCACTATATAAGAAGAAGAACAACAAATTAAATTCAGAAGGTTAGCAAAATAAATTTCACCCTTTCCCCTAGAAGACATCCCAACCCACTGAGAGAAAGAGAAATTTGCCATAAATTAAGACTTAAATACATTGCTAATTGTATTCCAAAATGAGAAAGATATACACCCTGATGTTGAGATATTAAGGTAGGCAGTTGTGTGGAGGAGGTCCAGCACTGACAGGTTAGAAAGAAGAAAGAGGCCGGGCTTGGTGGCTCAGCCTGTAATCCCAGCAGCTCGGGAGGACAAGGCAAGTGGATTGCCTGAGCCCATGGGTTCGAGACCAGTCCAGGCAACTTGGTAAGAACTTGTCTCTACAATAAATCAAAAATTAGCGTGGTGGTACATGCCTATAGTTCTGGCTACTTGGAAGGCTGAGGCGGAAGGATCACTGGAGCCCAGTAGGTCAACACTGGGGTAGCCATGAGTATGCCACTGCACTCTAACCTGGGCAACAGAGTGAGACTCCAACTCAAAACAAAAAAAGAAGAAAGAGAAGGAACAATAGGAACAGGACATTTTTCAGTCATGAAACCTGGCTTCTGGGTTACAAAAACAAATAGAAAGTATTTCAAATAACAAACAATGTATAAATTGTTTTATTTAGTTAAATATCTTGAATAAAAATAAGAAACTAAGGTCTACATTTGATTCCCTATTCATTCAATGCTAATTTCCAGTTCCTCAGCAATTTTTAAGTAAATATAAAACAAAAACTAAAAATCAGGATTTCCATGACTATCATGTCCTTTCACCTTGAAGGAAAATAATAGTTAATATCTACTAATCATTTACTAAATCCCAGGCAGGGTCTTAAATGTTTTGCAAGTATTCCATTTTAATCTTTGGCACAAAACTACAAGGAAAATGTAGAGACTGTTATTCATACATCTTTGAACACAGAGAGCTTAAGAAACCTGCCCAAGGGATCACAACTAATGAGTGATGTGTGGTATCTAAACCAGGCTGGCTGTTCCAGAATCTTAAACAAATGACCTATGCAGCCATATACAGACTAAAAGCAATAGCTCTGTTAATTTTAATTCTAATCACTACAAATTCTTTTTTTTTTTTTTTTGAGTTGGAGTCTCACTCTGTCGCCCAGACTGGAGTGCAGTGGCCGCTCCAGGCCACTGCAGCCTCGACCTGCTGGGCTCCGGTGATCCTTCCGCCTCAGCCTTCCAAGTAGCTGGAACTACAGGCACACGCTACCATACCCCGCTAATTTTTTGACTTATTGTAGAGATGAGGTCTCGCCAGGTTGCCCAGGCAGATCCCGAACTCGCGGGCTCAGGCAATCCACTCACCTCAGCCTCCCAAGGTGTGGGATTACAGGCTGAGCCACCGAGCCCGGCGTCACTGCAAATTCAAACTGTAAAAAAGGATTTCATGAATTTCATTAAGTTATTTGAAAGGATGATTAGAAAGCAATAATTTGAAAGCTATTTTTTTCTTTGAGAAAGCAGGATTTATTAAGAGAACAGAAAAGCTCCCACAGTGAGAGGGGACCCAAAGGGGTTGCCCTGAAAGTTCTTAACAGATGCGTTTCTATAAATAGGCACACATAAATAGATTTGTTTATAATGCTTTACTCGAATAATAAATGGGAGATAATCTCTTTATCCCTCAAACTCCAGATATTATCTTTCACACTTACCACTTGACACTTTTTTTTTGTTTTTAATACTTACATGTTATCTTCCACACCAAGTTCACTCAGATATACATTTCATTTAAGAAGTGGATGTATTAACACTTCATTGACCTAGTCCTACAATATGTAAGGATGAATAGAAAAATGGCTATGCCAGTGAAAACCCCAAAGACTCTTGTGGGAATAATATATGGGTTTGAAGGCAAATTCTGGAATTAGGAGGCTAAGACCCTGAAGCTATAATTCACATTTGGAGCTTTGCTTCTCCAGATTGTGCTAGTGTTTCCTCAAATTTCAGAAAGTAGGTACCAGGTCTTCCAGTCCAAGAAAGAAGACAAATGCATGAAGAGTTAAAAGAGCATGGCTTTAGCCAATGCCTTACTAGACTCTGGTGTGGCCATGTGCTCATTGAACTATGGCTGTCACCATGCTTCCTGACTTTGGCCCCCTTCCCTACTTTGGAGAGGTGAATTTCCTCTTTCTTTCTCTCTCTAATTTACTTTCTAAATAAACTGTATTTTCTAATCTAAAAAAAAAAAAAAGAGGAGCATGGCTTTTGAAGGCAACTAATACAAAGGATCAGTGTTGGGATTTTTCAATAAAAGACACAAAAGGCAAAAGAGCATAAAAGCTGGAGTAGGACAGATCTGGGATCACTTTCTGACCCCACGTTCCAGATACATTACCTTAGACAAGTCTCTCATGGACTAGAATCCCAATTGCTCTAGTTGGTAGGAGGATAAACTGGCTTAACCCATAGCTAGCATTCAATAAATGTCAGAAGTAATCTAGTAGTAGTAGTGGTGGTGATGGTGTGGTAATGGTTCCGAGCAAGACACAATTACAAATGCCAGTCAGACCCTCTGAACTGAAGTTTTAAATGGAACATCAAAAAGATTAACAGCAATCTCTAATGAAAATGTTATTATTCATCAGGAATGTTTTATAATACCTTCATATATTTTAATACTTTCCAAAAATATTTTAAAGTATTCTGAAAGATAAGACTTGTTACACATCTCAAAAGGTGTAAAAGTTTTTAAATTACTATATAATATTGCTATTGAATTTTTTCGCTTCAATGAGCATTTCCATCAAGAAGCTGTACCATAAAGGTAAGTGTACAGTTGTAATTTACGCAGAACAGTTACACACAATGAAGAATCACAATTAAACTCTCACAAATAACTTGTAAATTATTTTCAAAATAAACTTTCTTTTTTTAATTCTTCTTTTAAAAACTTCTAGAGTTTCTGGTTTCTTTTTTCAACTCGTCAGTTTATTCACCAAAAAAAAAAAATCTAAGTAATTATCCTCTTTACAAAATGTTAGTAAGTTAGAAAATCTTTTGCTCTCTGAATACTGGCAAACTTTCATTAAGACCGATAGTTTTCCCCATAGCATTTTTCACGTCTTGGGTATGTGTAAGATGTGTATACATGTGAGATGTGGTTTCATTTTTAATGTAAGACACCAAAAATATATATATAAATTTCTCCAAGAAACTGAAGTGAATTGCAATATTTGATTGTTAGGAGGTGCTGATAAAATCAGCTCAGTTTATCTAAACTGCTGTGGTCTGCAAAATAAACAGAGGAGAAACAATAATCCTATTACAAAAAGGATTAGCGGTATTAGTACATGCATCCTCCTTCAATCACATTTTGGGACCTGCTTTGCCCATTTGCTCACAAACCTGTTGAACTGTCACAGGAGGAGGATGCTCTTGCACCACGTGACATCCTCAGTGGAATCCTTAAAAATTCTCACCTTTTTCTCGAAAACGTTCACAGAATCTCACATGCTTTGTGCTCCTAGAATGCGGACATCCTTCCTAAGACACCGATCACTTTACGTCCCCTAAACCATTACATTACATTCGTGGATCGGTCTCGTCCGCAAAACAAAACGTTGGAAAGGGCATCCATGTACCCGAAGTTTAATACTAGACATGCCTTCTTACCTGATGGCAAGTCAGATGGGCTCTGTCTCACCTTTCTGGGAAACTCTTTCCGCAGATTTCCCTTTAAGAACGCCTGACAAGGTCCCAGTGATGGAGCAGAAAGAGCAAGAACGACGGGTGCAGAGAAGAGTTACCCTTAGCTTCCCTACTCCTTCTCGTTCTCCTGTTCGAACTTGTTCCGCGTCCCGGGCAAAGAGAGAGTCTTACCAAACAGCATCACCAGCTCCGCAGCGTTGGAGCGATTCCCCCAAGGAGCGCCTCCGCTCCCCCTGTCAACCTCCGAGGAAACGGCATCTATCCCTTGGAAGAGACTAGGCAGGCGGGAACAACTGCAAATCCTGCCGCTGTCCAAGAGAAGATGAGGGCAGAGGCGGCGAGTGGGATGGAGCAGAAAAGCCCCAGGCGCGACGGAGGGTACCTCCCCACTCCCGCCTAACTCCGAGCCATCTTCGCCCTGTTGTCATAGCGCTTCACAGCGGGCGCTACTGCGCATGTCGGGCGCCGCGCCGCGACGCCTTCTGGGGGTTGAAGTCCAGAGCGGCTGAGGCAGGGAAGGCGGAGAATGACCTCTAGGAGGGCCGCGGGCCGAATCCGATTTCTACCGGGGCGGGGCTCGTTAGAACCGTTGCCCCGTCCTCATTAGCAGAGAGAGATAACGAATGCAATTCCTTTCCTGTCCTTGCGGTTGTTCCTCAACCCCGAAGACCCACCTCCCGCCGGGACGGCGGGCGCAGGCCACGCCCCTCCCTCTGCGCTCCCCGCCCCGCCCCTCGGCGCTCGGGAGCGGGGCTTCCTGGGGGGAGGGCTCACGCAGACTGGCGTGCGGGGTGGGGCGTCGCCGGCTTCGCCGCTTGTCTGGTGTCCTGTGCTTTGGAGGCTTCGGTCAGCGCCAGTGGCCTGTTGACTTCCTGCAGAGTGGCACCCGAGGGCCCCGTCCATGGACCGGGCGACCGTGGCGAGGGTGGGCGCGGTAGCGAGCGCCGGCATGTGCGCCCTGGTGTCGTGGGCGGTGCCGGCCCTGCACATATTCACCTTGAAGAGGAAGACCGGGCGGAAGAGCAGGACCATCGAAATGATGGAGCTTCCGAACCGTTTCCAGTTTGGATATGTTTGTCCTATTTTGCACCTGTCTCCTGATGCACGTGTTAAATGTTCGTCTTAGTGTATATCTTGAAGTGGATTTCCTGGTATATAGGATTTGCAAATATTCAACTTTACAGAATAATGCCATTTTTTTTTTTTTTTTTGGTCCAGTCCTTACATTTAAATTCAGTGTAGTCAACCTTGAAGTTTTTGTTGTTTGCCTTTTTCAGTGGATTCTAGCTTAGGTTTTAAATTTCCTGTTTTTCACCACGAGTTCATATTCCCAGTAGGAATTATTCTAAATTTTTGCATTTTTAAAGGTAAAACAATTTCATGAAAATGATTTAAGCCATCAGTTTTCTACTACTTTGATATTAAGTCATCATAACAGTGGCTATAAAGAATAGAAATAGAAAATATTTGGATTGCCAATATTAGAGCTTAAGCAAATTATGATAGAAAACTCTTTCACTATTAAGATTCATGTTATTGAAAGTTTAAAAGCTTCATAATATATTTGTAGGTGAAAAAAGTTTTAGAACATCGTATGCCACTTGATATTTTTATTTTAAAATACAGAAAAAAATTATTGGAAAGAATTTTCACAAGAATATTAGGTATTAAACAAACTTATGAATATTTAAATTTTTATAATGTTTTTTCAGTTTTCATTAATTGGCCATGTATTAACCTTTGTAACTAGAACAGAAGTTTTTAAAATACCTGAATGGGGCCAGGTGTGGTGGCTCATGCCTGTAGTCCCAGCACTTTGGGAGACTGAGGTAAGAGGACTGCCTGGGCAACATGGTGAGACTTCGTCTCTGCAAAAAAGTCAAAAACTGAGCGAGACATGATGGCACACGCCTGTGTAGTCCCAAGCTACTCAGAGGCTGAGTCGGGATGATATCCTGAGCTGGAGGATCACCTGAGCCCAAGAGATGATTTTGCCACTGCACTCCAGCCTAGGTGGCAGAGTGAGAATACTAGAATAGAATACTATATGAAAATTTTAAAAATCACTGTAAGCAGAAAAGCTTCTGAAATTTTTAATAGATTCACCCTGTTTCAGTGACAGTATGAGATAGTCTGAAGAACACTATTTGCTGGAAAACCTAACGTCATTTGCCATTTGTAGCATGAAAAGCCTTTTTCCAACAGTTGGTGCCAAAATCTCTTTTAAAGAGTATGGTAGCTTACAAAATGGTAGTAGTTTTTGAGTTTTTTTCATCCTTTGCTGTGCAACATTGCAGTTCTACTCCTTGAATCTGAATTTGTCCTTGCCGACCTGCTTTGGCCAATGAGACATTAGTAAGCATGATGCAAGTGAAATCTTGAAAAGTGCTTATGCATTGGAGCTTGCCCACTAGTTTCCATTCTTGGGAACATGGTGACCATTTCCTTGTGAATAATCCTGGGGAAACCTGCTGGATGCCATCTAAGAGAAATGTCAGGTAACCTCCATTGCCTTAGTAGACATGCAGATAAGGCCATCCTAGAGCAAACAACCCAAGCAGAGCTAACCGCAGAGATTCGTCAAGCCAGACCAAAGCAGAACTGCTCACCCAGCCCACGTAATCTTTTAAACTCACACATATTAGAGACATGTAGATAATACCCATCGTCAAGGCCATATGCCAGGCATTGTGCTAAGCATGTTACATCATTTAATATTCAGAATACAGAACTCAATAATTTTTTTTTTTTTGAGTCCGGGTCTCACTCTGTTGCCCAGACTGGAATGCAGTGGTAAAATCACAGCTTGCTGCAGCCTCAACCTCCTGGGCTCAGGCAGTTCTTCCACCTCAGCCTCCAAAGTAGCTGGGACTACAGGCATGTGCCACCATGCCCAGCTAATTTTTTTTTATTTTTTGTAGAGACAAGTCTTGCTATGTTGCCCAGGCAGGCCTTGAATTCCTGTGCTCAAGGAGTCCTCCTGCCTCAGCCTCCCAAAGTGCTGGGATGTCAGGAGTAAGTTTCCATGCCCAGCCAGATCTCAATAATTTTTTGCCTTAACACCTACGACAAAATAAAGTTGGAAAGAAATAATCCCTAACCTTACTTATGTGTGATGCTCTCTGATATTTCTACTTTCTATTATTTTATATTTTATTTCATTTTTTAAAATATTTCTGGCAATTCCCTAAATTGATTGTGCAATCCTCTAGTATCTCTCAACCCACAGTTTGAAAAACATGAACATAGCACTTATCAGTCCCAGTAAATATCTATGAAATGAATGATTGTTATGTAGGCAGATTTGGCACATCAGCAACAGCAGTATATGTGTAGCATCACTTAGTATGCTACCATTTGGTAACTAGAGAGAACTGTTTAAAACAAATCTAGGCCTTGATAATATAGTCAATGTTTCAATTGTATTCTGCTATACAGAGAGGGAAGGTTTTTAATGGACGTATTGAAATAACCATATTGTCATAAGAATATTCACAAACATATTTCTAATTCTGAAGGAATCAAGTAAGGAGAAAGCATGTTTTTATCTTTATTTGCAGTAGTATCCTTTATCAAATTGCTGTAAACTTTAGATAGCTTAGGAGAAAAAAATTTCTTAAATCTGGAAAACAAACATTTGAGTAAAGGACTAATAACATTTCAAATAAAAGTCATAAAAACATTACATTTATCTTTTCAAATAAAAGTTATAAAAACATTTATCAGTTATTCTTTGTAATGAATTTTTATTTTGCTTGATCAAAATAATTAGTAGTTTCATGACTCATCATATTTTATTAAATTACAGTTCTGGAAACTTTTATGTAGTTCATTGATCTTTAAGTTATCAGAAACCTGTATTCACTAGTACTTGGTATTTTTCATGAGTGTGTGTAAATTTTTTAGAGAAGAATTTAAAGCAAAACCATGGATGACAAAAATCTTAAATATGGTTAAAAATCTGATGACATTTACAATTACAAGAACATTTATTTATTTCTGTTGCATGCAGCATTTTAAGATAACAACCAGAATTATGACTAATAACATACTAGATTTGTATTAATTTGTATAATTTTTGAAACATTCATATCAACAACATTCCCATAATTGCAACTAAAAAAAGATCTAATACCACTTATCATATGACAATGTTTCTTATACAATTTACTAAAAAGCCTAATTATTTAATATTTCTACAAGATGAGAGCAATATCTTTTGAGTCTTTCCAGGACCAACTGGGAAATCTGAAAATTAACTCCAGGTTTAAAAGACTTAAATTAGAATCTGATTTTGGAAGTTTGTCAAAGATACTAAAAGACTCAAAAACATTATATTTATTGTTTATCAGGATTGTGAAATAATATGTATGCATATAACGAGAGTGATAATCAAATGCTTAAAAAGTAATACAGAGAGTTACATTTTTTAAAAATCTTATGTCAGGCACAGTGGTTAACACCTGTAATCCCAGGACTTTGGAAGGTCAAGGTAGGAGGATTGCCTGAGCCCAGGAGTTAGACTAGCCTTGGCAACATAGCAAGACTTCATCTCTAAAAAAATATTTAAAAATTAGCTGGCCTGGTGTCACATGCCTTTAATGCAGCTACTCAAGAGATTGAGGTGGAAGATCACCTGAGCCCAGGAGGTCAACACTGCAGTGAGCTGTGATCATGCCACTAACCTCCAGTCTAAGAAACAAAGTCCCCAACTTAGAAAAAAAAATTTTTTTAACTGTTGTAAAGTTCAGAGTTTTTTTAATAATCAAAAGTTTAATAAAGGCAACATAGAAAATAATCACTGATTATAAAACATAAAATATTTCTTCTTTCTTAGGCCAACTACCAAAAGGTAAAGAAAAACCTTCTGCAGTGTGATTGTTTCTACTTATGGGAAGATATTTTAGATAACCTGGAAGTCAAATCTGATGAAAAGGGTACTTGAATTTAATCAGACAAAGGAAGAATGTGTTCAAGGCATGATTATAACAATTCAGACACATCAAGAAAAGCCAAGAGTATAGAATCAAGTTATACTGAAGCAAAACATTGATTTTCTATGCCTTTAAGGTAAATATTTCAGTATAGGGCTATACCAGCAGTATGAACCAGAAAAAAATTTACAGAAGCTAATGAAAATGTTGAAGAAGAGAGTTATCACCCCGGGCCTTCTCAATAAGAGAAAAAGCTAAATGCAGTAATGTTTGACCTACAAATCATAAGCAGCAAGACACAGCAAAAGCTGAACCTCTGAGAAATTTAAAAAGTGAAACTCTACCTAAAGACCTCAAGAAATGAAATTGCTACTTTAAATGAAGAAGAAAATATTTTCAACATGAAACTAGGAAAGTTAAATGGATCTCAGGAAGAAATGTGGCAAAAATAGAAACTATCTTCAGTTTAGAAGATAGCTGTCAAATGAATAGTTTTTAGAATTCAAAAGCAAATCCTTTTGCAATTTTATTGAGGGGAGAAATAATTCAAGAAAATCGTTTTGTTTTACATATATAGGCCCATATATCACTGCCTGAAAACATTGTTTACCCCCGAAAACAATGTTTAATTATTAAAAAACACTTATAATTCTTTTTTTAATCCCAGCCAAACTGATCATTCATAAGCTTTTTCATAAAGCTCAATTTTCATAAATGGCCTTTGGCCTTTGACTTGTTTAGCACTCATCATTTTCTTAACCTCCTAGTCTTAGTCCTATAATTTTTCATTTTTTGATACTGAAACAACCAATCGTTTTACCTTAGGACAAAAATGCGCCGTTTAAGTTTGTTTTTGTCTTTTTCTAAGACAGAGTATCACATTCACCCAGGCTGGAGTGCAGTGACACAATCATGGCTCACCGCAACCTCCTGGGCCCAGGTGATCCTTCTGCCTCAGGCTCCCAGGTAGCTGGGACTACAGGCACCTGCCACCATATCCAGCTAGTATTTTTTATTTTTGTAGAAATGAAGTCTTACTATATTGCCCAGGTTATAAAAGAGTCTTTATCATACAAAGGTATCTTTTTTCTAAATTTATTTTTTGATAAATAAACCTAAATATATTTG